CAGTCCCAGGTCAGCCGACAAATTGTCACTAAGGTAGATTTTCTACGACTACTCTGGTTTCCCCTTACCAGTTTCCATTCAACCAAATGCCGCATTTCTCTCATTAAATATCTAGGCCTGGTACAATGGACCATTTACGGCATTAGTACCGTGGGACTCCGTCTGAAACCATCCTATGAATAAAACAAGCCTTCACTATACACGTGTCGGCAATCCATGGCACGCAACTCACTCGAAGCTTTATTTTTGTACGATAAGACATTATTTAATTATTTATTACGTACTTAAAGACTCCGTGAGCAGCTCAGATAATACAGAAAGGTAGATACAGAAGAAGTGGGTATAGAGGTAAGGCTCTTGACTTATATTTGAGAGGCCTTCGGTTCGAATCTCGGCCGGGACACCTGATATCCTGACAAAGATGTTTTGTGCTTTCTCTTAGTACCTCCAAGCGATTGCCGGCTTATTTCGTCGATTGGGCCACAACCACTTTCTCCCATATTCTTTCCAATCCATGAATATTCATATATAAACACACCGTCTAGTGGTAAATAGTATTAATAGTGATAAAACAAAAAATCAAACTCCATGGCCTGTAGTCCGCAAGCGAACTATACCGACCGAGCCACCGCCGCTTGTCGGCGAAGTTAGTACCAACTTTAGCGGGTAGAGAGTGTCGCGTGGTCAGCGCAAAGGATCACCACGGCCGTTAATCTCGGTTTTCTAGACAGGAGCCGCTATTTCCTTGAAATAGTTCCTCAGTTATACTCACGAGGCTGAGTGGACCCCTTTCCGGACCTACTACTTTTCAGAAAATCTGGTAGCGCCGGGAATCGAACCGGGACCCCTGGATCGGTAGCCAGGGACTCAGACGATTAGGCCACAGAGATGATCAGTGTTAATAGTAATGGGGTCATTAAATAACTTATGAAATAGAAGAATTGTGGGACCATTAGTGAATAAGGAATTATATAGGATTTGCAAAGAAGCGGTGTTCATGTGTATGCCGGAATGCCTGCAGAGGCTGAGGAATTCTGAGGACTAGTAAGCTCTCGAGTACAAGTCACAAGCGTTACTGCATGATCTCACCTGCTGTGTGAGACATACATTCAGTGGAAGTTGTGTACAAACTTGTCGGCACCAGAGTCGTATCTTACCTCTGTTAAGGGCCATTCGTCATTCCCGTAACTATGTCCTATCGTTATTTTTGTTCTTGTATAATCGTATGTACAGCTGACTGCCTATTACCTGTGGGCGGAATTTCTGGATTGCAGAGTATTCGGGACTTTTTCAGAAAAGTTACTGGTGTGAATAATATAAAAAGGTAAACACGTGAAATTGCCATTTAAAAAGTAAGAAGTACAAAATGAAGGAGACATGCGGTTGGTTGAGGCACTATGCTAGAAGCCGAGAGGTCACGGGTTCGATTCCTCAAGAGATCATTGGATTTCTTAATTGACCTACTTCTTCCAGCAGCATTATGTTACTAAGGTTGACTCAGCCTCTAAAATAAATACGTAACAGGAAACTTCCTGGGGGGTAAAAGGTGGCCGGCGCTATGGCTGACTTCACCGCCATCTATGAGCCGATTGTCTACAGAAAATGTGGGAGCCTCAACGTTACAACGTTGGTGTTACTTTTCAATATACACGTCACATTCACCACCCGAAGTCAAACTTGTCCCAAGGTCAATATCAACAATGAGGATCTCCCACAATCAGATGATGACAAGTACCTCGGTCTACATCTGGACAGACGCCTCACTTGGCAAAAGCATATCTTTACCAAAAGAAAACAACTTGGTCTCACACTTTCCAAAATGTACTGGCTTATAGGCCGAAAGTCCAGTCTCTCAATACACAACAAACTTCTGGCATACAAGGTCATCCTCAAGCCCATCTGGACCTACGGATTACAACTCTGGGGGACAGCATCCAACTCCAACATAGAAATACTGGAACGCTTCCAGTCAAAAGTACTGCGCCTAATAACCAACGCGCCATGGTACGTCCCAAATACGATCATCAGGCGTGATCTTCAAATCAAAACAATCAAGGAAGAGATCAGCCAATGGAGCTCCCAATATAGAGCTCGACTACATACACACCCCAACGAACTTGCAGCTCAACTACTTCAACCACCAGACCTAAGGCGCCTCAAACGACACCAGCCAATCGATCTGATCACCAGATTCAAAATATAATCTTAGTTAGTAGTTTAGTTTTAAGTTTAGCTTAAGTTCCTCCCCTTCTCCCACCAGGCCCCAACCTATTCATATACGGAGGGGAACTAATGAGCTCCCCTCCACACGTCATTTCACACAACTGACAACAATTTGCTAAATGTATTCATACAGATTACAAATAAATGGGGATCTCAAAAAAAAAACTTTTCAATATTCCGGGACGGCACATCGGCAGTTCTACCAGGAACGTTCGAGTAAAGAACTCCCAGAAAATTACGTGTCGTTTTATAGATCACAATTCACAAGTTAGTTGCATAATTCTTACACTGATTATCCGGCAGAATTCGTTTCCTATCCACTCCAGATAATGGGCAACTTCCATCTATTAAAAATCCAGATTTCCTCATACATTTCAAAATAATCTCCTCTTCAATTAACTATGAGTCTCAGAATTCTTAAATTTTACGCTGTCTTAAAATAATATTACAAAGAAAATGCCCGTTCACAGTTTATTAACCAGTGATACGTAACTTGGTCGTCTATGACCCTTTAGTACACTTTTGAATTCATCGTTACGACCGGAAGTAATATGGCATGGCGGGAGTGTCACTCAGCTGTTGTTACTCGGCACACGAATTGAATAGCCGAAAGAGAGGATGAAAAATATATTTATATTTAATATTTAATTTTCCTAAACCCCCCACGACGTTCGAAAGCTCAGATCTGGTACGAGGGTTGCAATAATTTCTGATATAGTAAATTCCTAATGCTGTCACTGCTCTGTACAATGCATCAAGTTCACGTGAGGGTAAAAAGCAGCCAAGCTGCAAGAATATTTCTTTTAAGCGCTGCCCCTAATTCTGTTTTAAGGCTTTAATTAAAAGAATGAACATAATTCTTTCACGCTTAAGGGAACTGGTGAATCTCTTTTAAAATATCACTTTGTATCGCAGTGGATAGGGGTCTAGTTCCAGTTACACGAGTAGAAAGCCTATAATACTTGGAATATATATGCATGAGGTAACGTAATTGATTGAGGCACTATGCTACAAGTCGGAAGGTCGAGAGTTCGATTCCCGATGAGCTCATTGAATTTTTAAATTGAGCTAATCCTTCCAGCCGCACTATAACCTTGGGGTTGACTCAGCCTCTAACAAAAATAAGTACCAGAAACTTTCCTGGGGGTAAAGAGCGGCTGGCGCGTAAGGCTGACAACCTCATCGCCATCTGTTAGCAGATGGTATAGAAAATGTGAGAGCCTCGACTTCTCATAAACTTCTGGACCTTCACGGCCTGTTACAGGGATAACTTAATCTGTTACCTCATTGTCGTTGAAAACGCGTAAAACTGAGCATGTAGGGGAGAGATCTCAAACCAACAGAAATATTAATGGAAATCCTGATGCGCATTAGCATAAGAGTAATAAATTTTGAATAATTTAGTTTGGTAACTTTGGACTTTATGAATACATGTTTTCATCAGCAAAATCCAAATTGGAGAAATGCGAAGTAAGTATTTAAATATTGAGCTGTGCCTGTAACTGTATATTAACACATGACTACAGAGTTTTCTTCATCACTTCGCACTTCATACACACTAAGTAATTTTACTGTGTCTTCTGACTGTAAAACAACAAAAAAAAATCAGATGTTAAACGCAATTATAACTAATTATCTATCTTTCCATCTATCTATTTATCTAACTAACTAAGTAACTTCATGGAGTTTGGTCTTTCCTGAAGAGCCGCCACTCATTCAAATCACTCAAGAACTTCCCAACATTCTATGGAAACTGAGGGTTCATTACCGTGTTCACAAGAGCCCTCCACTGGACCATATCCTGAGCCAGATCAATCCATACCATCCAATCTCTCAAGATCCATTTTAATATTGTCCACCCACCTACGTCTTGGTCTTAACAGTTGTCTCTTTCCTACTGGCTTCCCCAATAATATCCTAAATGCATTCATTCTCTCCCCCATTCGTACTACATGTCCTGCCTATCTCATCCTCCTTGACTTTATCATTCTAATTATACTTGGAGAAGAGTACAAATTATGAAGCTCCTCAGTATGCAGTTTTCTCCAACCTCCTGTCACTTCATCTCTCTTTGGTCCAAATATGCTCCTCAACGCCTTGTTCTCAAACACCCTTAGTCAGTCAGAGACCAAGTTTCACACCCATACAGAACCACAGGCAAAATTATAATTTTGTGTATTCTAATTTTTAAGTTCTTAGTCCGCAAACGAGAAGATAAAAGGTTCAGGACTGAATAGTAGCAACCATTGCCCACATTCAATGTCCTATTAATTTCTTCCAGTATCAAATTTGATTTTTTACTATTTTCCTAAATATCTGAACTGCACCACATTTTCAAAACATCTGTTACCTGTCTTTATGTCACAAGTTTGCCCCACATTTTGGTGATGAGACAGCAACTTATACTTAGTTTTCTCTGTGTTTACTTCTAGACCAACCTCTTTACTTGCATCAATTATAGTTTCTGTGAATATCTTCATGTTTCCATGTTGCCTTCAATTAGATTCATATCACCAGCATAGAGCAGCAGCTGATGTATATTTTTTTCCGGCTAACATTTGTATGCATTTATCATCCTCAGCGTGATTACTTCATATTCGAACCATGTGACAGTACTTGAATTCGTCTTAATAATTCCTGTTGAAGAGGCCGAATTTATGAAACTCATAACTGTATATAATGTTTTCTCCAACCTCTGTTAATTCTGTATTAATTTCAAATAGTCTCATCAAACTTTCGATTTTATCTACCTTCAGTCTTTATCTAACACTACTCACTATTTCTTCGCTTGGTCCTGGATGTCCCGTCCGAAGAGCTTTGCATAGACAGCCTTCTTCCCGGAATTTCTCATATCATTTCTTGATACTGTTGAAAACTGGTGCTGTCCTGTGGAATTCTGCTTCAGATAGTCGGTGCAGATTCACAACGGACGAGGTTCTTGCTTTCTCAACACAAAATGACTGCTAACGTTTACTGAACGCCATATTTACTATTACTGCCTTCTAGCGGAAAACCATGGCAACTATACGCGCGGGCTTTAAGAAATACTTGGAGAGATTCATTCTCTATCGACGTAAGAATTACCATGATCCTTATGCATAGTTTGTTTCTTGTGAATATTTAAAATGTTTCACGGACTTATGAATAACTCTGTATTGTCACGTATCCTGGTAACGCGACAAGAAATTGATGGGAATAGTCGGACGGTCTAGAAGACATCTTGTTCAAGGGTTCCGTTTCACGTGTTCTATCTGCCGGTAGCTAGTGTATTCGTTGTCGCGGGAACTTCACTAGTTCTGGTTTTTCACTTGCGTGGTAACGTCTGCTATGTATGCGTTGTCACGTGAACATGTTTAATTGTCACAATTGACTCCACTCTGACTCAGATATTCCTGCTTTTAGGCGGTTTGTTTCCGGGTCTGCTCAAGTGGGATTTGTGGTGGACAAAGTGGTGCTGGGGTAGGTTTTCTCCGAGTACTTTGGTTTCCCTTGCCAATTGCTCCACAATCACCCTCACCTCTCATCTTGGGCTGGTATAATAGGCCAGAAGTGGCCGCAGTACAAGGGACTTAGTTCCACCCCACTAGCAAAAAAAAACATATTATATTCTCTTCTTGAGTTTAGATAAGAAAATTTTATACCCACGCAAAACAACATTTGTAACCACGGTTCTCTTCATAATACCGTACTATAAAATTTTCAATATAATAATATAGTGCATTTACCATAGTCCTTTAACGCAATAGTACATGTAAAATCCTCTCTAATCTTCGTGGCAACTTACGACCAGTGCAACAAATTAATTATTATTTCAGTCTTGCTTCTCATGAATTTCCATAGAAAGGCATTCGTTTAAATTCGGATTAGAGAGATCAGCCTTTAGTTGATTCCTGTCAAGATAGCAATCATCCGTTGGAACTTATGAACAGAGTTGTTTTACATTCAGTGTAAACAGTTCATGCAAGAAGCTGCTATAGCTGTTTTATGCGGGCCAATAAGCAGCAAGAGGCACAGTGAAACATAGGTGGACTGAAGAGAGAGTTAATTTCTCTCATATACATTTCATACCATGTTTACGCTGTATAAAGGTTTATTTACAGATGAACTGTTGATGATGAGCAGAGGGGACCTCACCCTAGTCCTGAAGGAGGGTGTTCATAAGCGGTGACGTGTGAAAGAGTAATTCGAGGGGCGAATAGCACCAGATGGGGGTGGAGAGATGATACCTGTTGAACTTGATACGGGGACCAGGAGTGAAATCATTAAGGGATGTTATTTATTGTGTCAAGAGATCTGATTTCCTCAAGGGAGAATATTTAAATTAATTCTGTTATATAGTAACAAGGGGTTTGACAAATATTTGTCGTGCATTTTTAGGTAAAACATTTGTAAAACTATATCGAATTATTTCTGATTAAGTCAGTTTGTTATTAATATTATTGCCTCTTGTCTATCTGGTTCGTAGGTATAACTTAACAGTGACGACAAATCCTGTCGTAGAACTACAAACAAACAAAAAAACTCTGTGGCTTGAGTCCGCAAGCGAATTATACCGACCGAGTTTGTCGGCGAAGTTAGTGTCACTATTAGAGCGGATAGAGGATGTCGCGTGGTCAGCGCAACGAATCCCCAGGGTCATTAATTTCGGTTTTCTAGACCGGAGCCCCTGCTTTTCCTTTCAAGGAGCTCTTCAATTACCATCACGAGGCTGAGTGGACCCCGTTCCAGACCCATTACTTCTCAGAAAATCTGGTAGCTCCGGGAATCGAACCCGGGACATCTGGATCTGTAGCCAGGAACTCTGACCACTAGACCACAGAGGTGGTCCGTCGTAGAACCGGCAATCTGGCTTGTCAAAACTCGATTAACTCTTCTGTGAGGGGGGTAAAGAAGAAAAAGAAGAATTGGGGGTGGTAGTGAGAGACACTATATTGGGGGGGGGTTAATAAATTATATCTCCGATTTTGAAGGTTCCCAGGCAGTGCCCGCTTGTCCTTCTGATATAGGTAGAGCATATAATCGGATCACTTCTATACATTATATATATTTATGACACTGGAAGGGGTGCATTATAGTAATTATTTTTGCTAACGTTCGGAGGGCTATATTAGGGCGAAATTTTGATGTTACCAATGGGAGGGCTGCATGTGACGCATGCAGCGCAACGTGGAATTTGGGTAGCAACTCAGCATTTGCACTAGGACCGAGGAAAGTTGGCCGGTCGCAGGACCTTCCGGATGCAAACTAACTTCTTGCCAGCAGTCCGGCATTAAATGCGCGAACCATAACATTAGACCCTATCTGGCTGTTGCTTTATTTTAAAAGTTTACATATGTGTTTCTACATTTTTCTTTTCATACTTTGGATGAGCAGCAAACATTTTCAAAGGATTGTAACTGTTTAAGTATTGATAAATTTAAATCTCTATTGTGGAGGGAGAAAGGTGTGTTGCTCATCCAATGACAGGATTTTATGATTACAATTCTGATTTAATGTCATCTTCTTTCCTTGTCCAGCATAGATGATGACTGGTCCACATGGCCGCGGGCGTACTGGGCGTTTGGGGAGTGTCAATCATCCGGTTACCTGTAAAGAGATCTTAGAGCTGATTATCGTGCAGACAGGGATAAGGGATGCAGATGTTTATCACTGTTGGGACCGCAATGTCCTAGTGCCTGAATCTGTTTTCGCTAGTTACCGATTTTTTGGTGCAATTTCCTCGCTAACCTCTTGAAATGACCTTTTATTGATGACATTCCCGTCTGTTCGTGTAAGGTTGCAATTGATGTTACCCTCGGTAATTTTGTTATTTTCCTGATGACTTTATTTTGAAATGTCTGTAATTTATTTATGCACGTGTTGGCAGCATAGCCCCGTGCGGGGGAGGCATATGCCAATATGGAACGGAGGAGTGATTTATAAATTACCAACGGTAAATTAATGTCAATGGTGGAGGATTTATTTAATATAGGGTAGAGTTGTCTGTAATTAGCTTTGCGGATTAAATCTTTTCAATTGAACTCTTCTTCATACCAACTTTGCACGGACCGTGCAGAAAACACAGCCTCTCTATTGTTGAGAAGGCGTGTTTACAGTGCTATTGCATAGCATAGGAATTTACTCGATTTTTTTTTTTGCGTATTCGTTACCGCGAAAACATATTTAGCGAGTTGTAGCCTAGCAATGAATGTCTATTCTGATTTCACAATAACAGCTTTCGGGCGTCATGTCACAATATATTACGATGTATGGGAGGCCAAAGATAAATTTAATCCGAAAGAAAAATTTCCTAAGGGAATAAGAACTATCCTGTCTATGGAATGTCTGTGGTCTAGAAGTGCTATTGATTTATATACGATTTATTTTATGACGTTGTCAGTAGTTAAAACCATATATAGTCGAATAGGAAGATGATTAGTACACTATAAACCGAATAGTTATTCCGAATACTATCCCTGCATTCGGTTGGACTGGCTGAAGAAAGGCATGAGTTATCTAAGGATACACAACGTCTCAGCTGACATTTGAACACGGTAAAGTAAAAAAGTAAAGCTATCCCTGTACAAGGCCGTGAAGGCCCATAGGGTTGTGAGATGTTGAGGGTACCACACTATCTAGACAATCGGCTCAAAGATGGCCGTAAGGTTGTCAGCCTTACGCGCTGGCACCGCTTTACTCCTCAGGAAAATTATTTAATTCTTGGTACTCATTTCTGTTAGAGGCTGAATCGAACCCCAGGGCCACAGTGCGGCCGGAAGAATGAGGTCAATTGAAAAAAAAAAATCCAATCACCTCATCGGGACTTGAACCGCTACCTTCCGGCTTGTAGCATAGTGCCTCAACCAACTACGCTACCGCGGATTTTAACACGGTACGTCTTGAATACAAGAGAGAAATGATACTGCTTGAAATAGCTTACTCAATTCTAGCCATGAGAGGGATAAACGTACCTATAACACTGAATTAGACTAAAGTTCCATCTATGTGCTGTGAGCCAAACTAAATGAAAACACATTCCGAGGGACGAGAGATCGTTGCTTCAGAAACCAGCACTCGGGAAACTTAAGAAGAAACAATTTCATTTCACTAGCGCCACCAAATCGTGTGCTCCTCAGGGTTATGTAGGTATTAGGGCTTTCTCTGGTTTTGCAATGTTTTCAAAGCGATGTTCAGAGATTTTACGGAAATTACGCATCACGATTGCTTGAGATAAGGTTGAATAAAAGGCAAAGCAGTTCAGTTTTAAGATGCGATATAACGCCGTTACTGTATTGAACAGAATATCTGAAATAGAACATAATCACTCTCAATGAGAAGAGTAGAATTGCTTGCTCAATTTGGAGCACAAAAACTTAAATTGCATACCATTCTTAGGCAATTGGACTTTATATTAATTTACTACTGATAGAAGCCAACATTTTCAAGCTAAATGATTATATAGTTAGAAATACTTTTCAACTCTGTTTAATTTAATATTCACGTTATGTAAAATTATTTGAAAAGAAGTTATGGATCTAATGAAATCCGTATTTTATATCATGCAGAAATTTTCCGTGCTGCAGGAAGCTTTTATTTTAGAAAACCAATAAAAATTCTAGTTAAATCTTATTAAATTATGGGCTACACGCTTTAAGACGCGAAAATATTCCTGATGAGCTAAAAATTAAAATATTTATCTCTTTTTAAGGAATATGAAGGCTCATTACCCCGTTCACAAACGTATACTAATTGACTCCAACGTGAGCCAGGTGAATTGAGCTTACATTCTTATACGCTATTATAAGATCCATTTTAATAGTATCCTCACATGTCTAGATCTACGAAGTGGCCTTTTTCCTTTAGGTTTTTATAAGCATTTTTTCATCTCGAAATTTTCGTTTTTCTTTATTTCTTCACGATAATAATATCCGAAGAAGAAAGAAAGTTTTTCTCCTTGCGGATTTTTCTCCAGCAGCCTCTTGTTAACTCCCTTTCTCGTAGAACTTGTCTGATATGCGTTCATATCTTAGTGATATTTCACACCAAGCTAGTTGTTTACGGTCAGGAATTCTAAGCCCTTACGTCTAGCCCCAAGCTAGAGGACCACCCCTTGTCGCCGTCCGCGCCTGTTCATTAAACATAATCGCAACAACCTTGCAGAGCAGTTTATATATTATGACTTTTTACAAGCCCTGTTGAAGGAAACAGAGCTCTGCCTAGTTTAGGTCCGTTATACAATCGGTTTCTATGACGACGCTTCAAAAATGGAGAGGTCTTCGCACTTTGAAACCAGAACCATAAAACCAGCTAGAGTGTCTTCCTCCCCTTTAAATTTTTTCCCCTATATCCACTGAGACAGATCGGGGAAGCAACCCTATGGCTTTTCAGTCATTAATCGTCATTAAATTTCGCATGGGGATTTCTGCATCCGGCTTCATTCATTAGTGGAACACTCTGGGCTACACAGCCTCACCTTTCTCCCCAGAATCTCCAGCATAAAAGTAAGTGAGATAGCTACGTTTCTATGCATTATTCTTAACTGCAGTAATGCAGACGCCTGCAGCATGACGTTTAGGCTACACGCCTTACAACAGAGACGGAGAAGTTGCCGCATAATCACGGCGCTCTCAATGACATGGTAGTTACGTTACCTCTCTACACATAAAAGTCCCTCAAATGTGAGATGGAAAATCTGTAATCAAGCAATTTTTGGTCACCATAGTAACGAACTGTTCAGCGTTTACATTTTCATGAACGTACGAGTAAATTACGTAGGATCCGAGGTTGTCACAGAGGCTGTTATGGAGAGTAATATCTTCTGGGAATAACTCCGTGTAGTCCGTTGAAAGTCAACAGGCGTTTTGGATGAACATATCGCCTCCATCTTCAGGTTCAAAGAATATGTCGATAAAGAAACAAGAGTTGGCCGCGCCATAGCTCAAGCGGTTAGTAGCTGGCTTCCCACCGCGGCGGCTCGGGTTCGATCCCGGGTCTGGTCAAGTGGGATTTGTGGTGGACAAAATGGCGCTGGGGTAGGTTTCCTCCGAGTACTTCGGTTTCCCCTGCCAATCTTCATTCCACCAATTGCTCCACAATCACCCTCACCTAACATCTGGGGCTGGTACAATAGGCCAGAAGTGACCACAGTGCAAGGGGCTTAGTCCCACCCCACTAGCATAAAAAAAGAAAGAAAATGGCAAGAGGAACGCTTAAACGTCAGCCAATACGCATCAGTATGTAACATGTAGGATTGGAAAGGATAGGGGAGGCTAGTAGCACGAAGTTTCTGAAATAAGTGCTGAGACCTTCCGCTGAATTGTTAACGGATATTACACTAGAACTGCAATAATTATGTAGCTTGTTATAAATCATATTTCAATTGCATGGAAATCTTCAAACCACGCATTTATTTATTAATTCATTTTGTCATTCTAAATGCGATTTTGACCAGACGATAACTGTCTATGGTCTATATAAATAAAAATTAATTTCATGGAGCCGAGTTCTTTAGAACCTATCAATTGATAGTTGTTCAACAAATTCTCTGTTCTGTAAGGACCTACAATATTGACACAGTTTTCATAACATTTTTCTACTGAACCCCATCATTAATCAGTTCATTCCAGTCCACAATTCTGTCTGTAGCTCTACAAGCTCTACAACCTTGGCCGTTTTCTCAGTTTGTTAACAATGACGTTCAAGTCAATAATTCTATCAACGCTTTGTTGGGCCTTCGCCGTTTTCTCAGTTTGTTAACAATGACGTTCCAGTCCATAATTCTATCTATAGCTCTACAATGCTTTGTTGGACCTTGGCCGTTTTCTCAGTTTGTTAACAGTGATGTTCCAGTCCATAATTCTCCCACCTATAACATGAATATCTATAAATGGAACACGTTAATGTAGCCCAAATGAATATGTCGAAAAAGCCTGTATGATATTATGACGTGGAATGACCTAAAAGGAGATGGGAAGCTTTATTTTGATATGAAAAAATGCCTGAGGTTCACCTCGCATCAGCTGACGATGATGATTACAATAATGATAACGACTTTTGCGAGATCGATTCTACATCATTTCGAGTGTAAGCTTCTGCACGCCACTGCTTCTACGTGATGAAGAGGCAGTGCATTCACATTACGGCGAAACTGAAGCGGGTCGTGATTACCGGCTCTTCTAGATCCGACACTTTATTCCGATTAACAAGGACACTTGACCGACCTAAGAGCTTTTAAAGAAGGTAGCACAGCGCAGGCTTGGCAAGAATTATGTCGCAATTTGTACATCGTGTGCACAGCTTTCCTTCCTGCATTATTTGAGGGAGAAGAGTTTCCTGCATAACTGCCTTCCATGTAAGAGACACAGATCTCTTAAATGTTCAGTCAGGATTTGTTCTGCTTCAAGAAGAGCACGCAGAAACGTTCATGCTTAAAGAGGGTTCTATTTAATCAAACTGGTGTCACGACACGTGACACTATCAGTGTTGGTGCAGAATATGTCGAGAAATAAATGTTTTATTCGGCTTCGAATGTTACATGTTTTACATTTTATGTCCATTTGTGACCTATTTACTGACTCTTCCTCATATTTATCATGTATGAGAAAGAA